TAGGAGTTGTCCAGCTGTGACCAAAGTCAACGGAAACCGGTCAAGTACAAGTAAAGAAGCATGCAATGCAATTCCAGAGAGTAACGTTTATGTTATTTTCCCAATAGTTTAGATCCTTGACTGACCTTTGACACAACACTGCTTTAGTGTAATTTTGATATCTCGAAATTATTTTTGAACTCTAGGCTGAAGTTTTGCCTCTTTACAAAACGTATTAAAAATCCATTTAAATGATGCATGAGTTATATTTTTAAGACACTAAACTGACCTCTTACTGAACGGTTAACCATAAAAAGATCTTTTGGATATCTGTATTCTTAGCTTTCAACTCATTGATATCTCATACGATGATGAAGATACGAACATATTACAAAAACTGATCAAGATTTCAGGTACACATAGATATTTTGCTGAAATAACTGATTAAAGCTCTCAAGGTATCCCAAGGTGAAAAGGCACCATTGTGTGAAGTAGGACCTTTTACATCTCTGTAACATACATGTAGGCACATTATTTTGTGTTCTAGTAAAAGGTTCAAAATTGTGCGATCTCTACGGCTTTTTATAAAATCATTGCTAGTGCTTTCAGTTCATGAGAGTCCTTTGTTTAGATTTAACTTCTTATGTCTTTAAAGTACAATAAGACACGGTCTAGACAAAAATATCACACTTTTTAGAAACATAATACCTTCATCCTTCCCAAAATAACATTAATTTAGAAGTTTAAGATATACTCTTATCATATAAGCAAATATTGTCGAAAATATGAACCATCATCCAGATCCTATAATGGTTCTCCAAGTAAAAGTTATAACCTGACAACTTGGCCGACTTCAAAGTTATGGTCAAAACAGGACAGTAATGTCATCCCTGGTTACGTAGACCTAGTCGTCAGGATCTTAGGTAAGTGTATAAACCATCTGGTTTATGGCAACCTTTATAATTTGTAAGAGCTGCCGTTGTTCCTCTACTTCAATGTTGAAGACACTGTTAGACTGTTTACATGGTGATTCCTATATTCCTTTCCATTACAATATGTGTGTTTGAGGATATTTCTTATTCAATAGTTGAGCTTTTGGAAAAGCTTTCTGCTAAAACTTGCTTCGCGGAAAGAAATTTTTCACTGTTGATGATATTTTACTCTCATATTCTTATGACCAAATAAAAAACATAGGGAATCAGAGATTACAGAGCTCACCTCAACGAATGTTGTCTTTAAATAAGGCAAAGTCCCACACTAAAATAATAATCTAGGAGCATGCATCCCTAGATGCAACATTTATGCAATTTTGGTCGGATAGGGCTTGCAGTTACTTGGGAATATACTTATCTGAAAACTTAAAACTAGTCACTCATCCAGAAAATGTAAGTCAAATCCAGCATCCAAAGCAAGTCTGAGATTGTTCGTCCCTTGGTGCATCATCCATGCAAGTTTGGTTCAGATAGGCCTTATAGTTACTTGGAAATGAGATCTGCTCCTAAAACTTTAACCTGGTTACTCATCCGGAAAATGTAGGTCAGATACAGCATCCGAAGCAAGTCCAGTAGTGTACATCCTTGGATGTATCATCCATGCAAGTTTAGTCAATACAGGGCTTATAGTTACTTGGAAATGACATCTGCTCCAAAACCTTTAACATGGTTACTCATTCGGAAAATGTAGGTCAGATACAGCATCCGAAGCAAGTCCAGTAGTGTGCATCCTTAGATATCATCCATGCAAGTTTGGTCAATATAGGGCTTATAGTTACTTGGAAATGAGTTCTACTCCAAAAACTTTAACCTAGTCACTCATCCGGAAAATGTAGGTCAGATCCAGCATCCGAAGCAAGTCCAGTAGTGTGCATCCTTAGATATCATCCATGCAAGTTTGGTCAATATAGGGCTTATAGTTACTTGGAAATGAGACCTGCTCCAAAAACTTTAACCTGCTCCAAAAACTTTAACCTGGTCATTCTTTAGCTGATATTGCAGCATCTGAAACCTTGACTGGTACAATGAAACACACTAGAAGCATCCTCCATGCATCTCTGACTAATATAGGCCATAGAAGTACTTGAAAAGAAAACTGCTCCAAAAACTTTAACCTGGGATGCCGACGCCGAGGGTATTACATAAGCTCCTCCAACTTCGTCGAGGTAAGCTAAAAACTACTTCAGAAAGGTTTTATCTACAACTTTAAAATTCTTTGAGATGATGTATTGAATTTTTTGTTTATTTTTCTATGGCAACAAATGTTGCTTTAAGTCATGAAATGTTACAAGTTGAATCAAGGCATTAAGTCTTCAAGTTAAAAAATACAATCATGCTATCAAGTTTTCATCTTTATTCATAACATCATATAAAATATCATGAAGCAAAAATCAGAGAGTAAAATGTTAAAACATGTATTATTGATGCCTTTTTAAATATCTCTATGTGTTACATTAAAATTTTACTTAAAAAATATATTTATAAAAATAAAAATAACAGATCTCAGATTATTAATATGTAAAAAAAAATGTAAATGATTATTAATATGTAAAAAAAAATATTGACAAAAATTTCATTAATTTATTTTGGTGAACAATATTATTGTATCGTTCCTATAAATAACACATTTTGTCACCCCCCCCCTCCCCCTTTCCACATAAATGGCACTTCATAAAACAAAAATTTGAAAAAGAATCTTGTATCCAAATTACTCTCTCTACATGCGATAGATTTGCCTTAATACATTAACGCAAAAGGCATATATGATCACAATTTGCCAATGTTATGCATATAGAAAAGTAGAATAAATGTGTGTATTTTTCAAAATCTCAAAACCATTCCTGAGTGTATCAACATTAAACAAACACTAGGACGGTATGGCACTCTTCATTGTAACTGCACCAGGGACACTTATTTTAAGGATATTCTCCCTTTGGTGCATTATGGTCTACAATAAGCTTCAACAACACTATCACGCAAATAACATTAAAAAACACATTTAAAACAAGATGTGTTTGTGAAACACTGATTCCCCCGTATGGCAGCTTATGGCGAAGTTTAAAGTTTTTACAAATGCAAGTCAAAATCCAGGCCAAAAGATAAAAAAAATGTTAAATTTGAAAGCCCTAGCTCCAACTGTTCAAAAGTTATGGCGAAGGTTAAGGTTTTTTAAAAGTAAGTAAAACATCAAGGTCAAGGTCAAAGTTGTTGGTATCCAAAGGAAGGTCTTGTCACAAGGATTACATATGTAAAGTATGAAAGCCCTAGCACCAGCCATTCAAAAGTTATGGCCAAGGTTAAAGTTTTTCGAAAGTAGGTCAAACTCCTATGTCAAGGTCAAAGGGTCAAAGTGGTTGGTATCCAAAGGAAGGCTTTGTCACAAGGATTACATATGTAAAGTATGAAAGCCCTAGCACCAACCATTCAAAAGTTTTGGCCAAGGTTAAAGTTTTTCGAAAGTAGGTCAAATTCCTATGTCAAGGTCAAAGGGTCAAAGTGGTTGGTATCCAAGGAAAGGTCTTGTCACAAGGATTACATATGTGGAGTACGAAAGCTCTAGCATCAACCATTCAAAAATTATGGCCAAGGTTAAAGTTTTTCAAAAATAGGTCAAACTTCTACGTCAAGGTCAAAGGGTAAAAGTTTTTGGTATTCAAAGGAAGGTGATGTCACAAGAATTACATAATTATGTGAAGTATGAAAGCCCTAGCATCAACCATTCAAAAGTTATGGCCAAGGTTAAAGTTTTTCAAAAGTAGGTCAAACTCCTAGGTCAAGGTCAAAGGGTCAAAGAGGTTGATATCCAGATAAAGGTCCTGTCACAAGGAATACACATGTGAAGTTTTAAACCCCAAGCACCAACTGTTCAAAAGTTATGGCCAAGGTTAAAGTTTTTCAAAAGTAGCTCAAACTCCAAGGTCAAGGTCAAAAGGTCAAAGTTGTTGGTATCCAAAGGAAGGCCTTATCACAAAAAATACACATATGAAGTTTGAAACCCAAGCGCCAACTGTTCAGAAGTTATGGCCAAGGTTAAACTCTCATAAAATTTTGCAAAAGTGGGTCAAACTCCAAGGTCAAGGTCAAAAGGTCAAATATGATGGTACCCATAGAAATGTCTTGTCACAAGGAATACACAGGTGAAATATAAAAGTCATAGCTCCAACCAATCAAAAGTTATGGGCAAGTTTAAAGTTGACAACAGACAGACAGACAAACAGACAAACAGATAAACAGACAAACAGACAGACAGGACAAAAACAATATACCCCCGGGATCTTTCGATCCGGGGGCATAAAAAGTAAATCAAAATGTGCGCCATTAGGTGCATGATACGCCCGACAAATATTTTTTTTTTAATCTTAAATGGATGAGTGAGCAGGAAACAAATCATGTCAATCTTGGTAGAAAGATCTCAATGATATCTCTATTCCTAATGTTTGATGTGCATCTTCTATGCTGTAGTTTTTAATTAGAACAAATTCTCAACTCGTTATATTGAAGTGACACAAATGTCCAATCTGTAGCGTTGTTAATTGTATTTTTTATCAATGAATAATGCCGCTGCTAATAAAACATGAATATACTAATCATTATTGTTAGACTTTAAAACTTAATTGCAATCATATGTCATCTTACTGATACTTGGTACTCTCCAATTTGGTTGTTTTGATATAAAAAATAAAGTAAGATTTTTTTTTAAAATTTGAGATATATTATCAATCGCAACCAAAAGCAAAAATTTTAAATTCCCCTCCCTTATTCCCGAGACATATGGGTAACACCGATGCTATAACAGAAATGATTATGACAACTTTCCTATATAAAACTTATTTACTAATCTTTATATTGACAGATGGAGTTTGACTCTGCAAAATGCTTTTTGCATGTCCAACTGAACTTTTTGAAATCCATGCCTTAGATAATTACTCCCATAGGAAAGTGGAATTTCTCTCCCAGTTGTGGGATGTTTTCACTAGGTTTTTACATTTTTTGTAGCACATTATTATTGGATATTTATGTCAATATTGCTATAAAAGAGAATTGTTATATACAAACACATATATATCATAAAAATGTTTATTTTCTTGATGTAACATTTTTAATAAGGTTACTGCTGTACTCTTATATACATTTGTAGAGATTACATGTATCTCCCTTAAAACATATTAAAAAAAACACCATTATTAAAGCTCAAAGTGACCTCAATGTAGTATGCAACACTCTTTCTAAACTTTCTCAGATGCATTAACTGACCAAGTTTGATGATTCTAGGTCATTTTTTTTCTAGTTATGAGCCAGACAGGGATTTGCCTTATTTGGCCTTATCAAGTTAATTAAAGTTTTAAGTGACCTATATACACGACACGAAAAAAAAAAACTAACAGACAGATGACCAGATTGGACGAACATGAACGCAATACCATAATACGTTCCGTCTTGGACTGGCGTATAATAACCATATTTTGTTCATTGCTAATCTAGCAGATCAGATGCATATCTTAAAAATAACATTTCTTCAATACTTCGTAAAAAATAAATAAGGTGAACAGAGCAATATAACATTATGATAATGTCATATACATAATTATATGCCTTTTGATTTCTTGTCCACAGATTACAGTAATCAATTCTAAAGCTTGTTCATGACATCATTATAACTTGGCGGGAGAGGAGCGGACGGTTGTTTCTGTGTTTGTTGCCATTCGACTGTTTGCAAGGATTGACATAAGGGTTGTTTACCATAGCCTGCCGAATACTGTGTTGAATAGTTTGCCGCCGGGAATGGAGCAATGTTTCCGGTTGGTTGTGCAGAATGTGTAGTATACGGATAGGCTTGTTGAGTCAAAGCTGAGTGGATAAAATGAACAAAGTTGTAAGAAAAGACCATTTCCATATAGTAAATTACTCAGTTGTGATTTTCATAATTGTAATAAAATTGAATTTGAATGTGTAAATCCCATTTATCCATATATATTATTACATGTACACATTTTATCAATGGCGCAACATGTTCATGCTGTAATCAGATGTGATCACCGTCGTATACTAACTGTTAAGTGAAGTTTGATTTTGAGGGTGTGTTACTTAAGGGATTCTTTGATTTGAAGACTTACGAGTTATTAATCAGAGTTTCATGCAATATCTCGATTGAAACATGTAAATTTTAAAACTTTGAAAAGAAGCGATAAATATCTTTAGCTTTTATTTCAAACATGCAAAAATTATTGAATGAAACTTCGGAATTTGGTTCAGTTTTGTTCGAATTCATTACTCCAGCAGTCAATTTATACTTACCTGAACTTGTTGTAACTTGTCTGGCTTGGTTAGTACTCGACCTGATGCTGACTTCCTTTTACAAACACACCAGCAAAATAAAGCAGTAAGCAACGTAACTAACACGATGCCCCCGATCACTCCTCCAATAACGGCCCAAACTAAGTTACTATCTGTAAGAAGAATACTCTTACACTTACACATGTACGTAATGATATAGTTTTTAATGAGACATATTTTTGTTTTTTAACCTAGCAATTACAATGCATGTTATTCAACTTCTTCAAGTGAGACAATGATCGAAATAGTATATGCAATTAGAATTTTATGACAGTTACCGTTTTCACTGCTCCTCATTGCTCGAATGATGTTTTTAATATATTTGTCTGTCGAAGATCCTAATAATGAGATCTCCTGACTTCAATAGGAATGGGTGAACTTTTAAATTAGATCTACTCGGAGTGTTTTTTTTTTAATATTTAAAAAAAGATAAATGCATGTCATGTACACGACTAATTCCTTATTTAGTATATTGTGTAAGGTATAGAACTGATATTTTATCATATTTTGTGTTTTGGTTGTCAATAAAGGGGGAAACACATGATAACGCCCACTTTTCCATATATTTACAAGATATGTTAAGGTCAAGATCTAGTAAATCATGAGTTTAGACTGTTTGGTGCTAAATCCATTATGACATCATAGTTGACTCAATCTTCCCCCTACTTTACGACTGTAATAGAATTATGTAGAAAATGAAGCACTTTCATGGCATTGAAATCATGTCAAAAGTAACCCCGATACCTACATTCAATTCAATATCATTTTAAAGTAAAGGTCAATAAGATAAGAAAAAAACCTATTGATACATTTCCTTTCTTAAAATGAAAAAAAAAAAAACGAAATTATTACCTAATTTTCTTCATTTTGCATTGAAAATGCCAGATTAAAATATATATTTTAGTTGAGTTTACCTTAAAATTATGTCCCGATACACCTTATTTTGCAACGCTATATTTGTAATGGATCATTAAAAGAACTCGTTTCTAAAATTTGAAAAAAAATATGTAGGCATCTTTAATTTACTAGATCTTGACCTTAAGACAAATAACTTCGTAAAAAAAGAACATGATTTTTTTTCCCAGAAATGTTTTATCTCGAGCAAGGCTTTGTCTTTAAGTTTGCCTAAAAACATCTGCTATAATATTTGAACAAAATTATTCTCTCTTCAATCTATGTCTTGGAAAGTAACATTTCTTTTCCCCTTAATTATCATTATTACAACAAAAATGATGTTTTATTATTCATTGATAATAAATAACGCCTATATCATGTATACACAACTACAACTTGTAAGATACTTACAATCAAGCTTTGTAGCTGTAATAAGAAATCTGAAACTGACACTGGATGTTGATTTTCCATTACGCGATTTAAAGTATACGTAAAGCTTTTCACCAGAATCGGCGCAGAATTCTGTGTTTGAATAAGAACTGGAACAAGTAAAGCTCTGTAAAGAAATTGCAGTTTAATTTTATTCGTTTTCATATACTGATCATTGTATATATCCCACTGTGTAAATTTTAACCCCCAAATTGCAGCTGCATCTATCACAAGGGGTCAAAACTTAACCAAACTTGATTCACATGTACAGTAAATATGGATGCTGAAAATGCAGTCTAACTGTTCTAGGGAAGAAAAATCTTTGAAAAATTTCCTCCCCTTTATACATGGATTGTATTATTCATTTAATACAATCATGTACTGTAATACTTTACGGGGGGGGGGGGGGGGGGGTATTGATCATATTCATGATTTGAATACCAAATGTACATATGCTTTAGCTTATAGAGTGTATAATATTATGTTCATACCTTTGTTCTCGATATGTAGAAATTGAAAATATTTAGGGAAATTTTGTTTTTAAAAAATTGAATTTTAAATTCTGTCACCTTTTAAGCTAATTCTAGAAAATACACCTTCTACCACAAAATACAAACATTCAAAATTAGAAGAAAATACTTCTGGAATTTATTTTACTCCATTCATATAAGGTAAAAAAGTTATTAAAAAAAAAAAGTAAAATTATGCTTTCAAAAATTAACTGATATGAATGTACATTTTATATTTTATATATTGGAACCCTTGACAAATGTTAGGAATTAATAATGCTCATGAAAAAATATCAATAATAATTGTACCTTTAATTTTTTCCCTTCATAACCAGATCTAAAAACTATCTCCATGCTGCAGTCACCGTCAACGAACCATTTTTTTATAACACAGACTTGATAATCATCACTAATTTTCTTCCCTTGTCCTTGGAAGGACATGTAAGAACACGAACTGACTCTTTGTCCTTCGTACTCAAGGTGTATTTGACGATACTCGTTAACTTCTTCTGATCTGGGACAGTCCTCTCCAAAAGTATCTTTTAAAACAATAAGTTAAACATTGTTTCAAGACCAAGACCTTCTGTGCTAGTAAGTGTCAAATTTGACTGCGAGTATTATCCCCCAATTTTCATTTTTTTTTCAGAGTTACATTCTATTTATTTCCAACTTTCAAAGATTGCCAGCTAGTACATTCTTATTGTAAGACACACAAAAAGATAAACAATTAGGACCTACATGTTAATCAAAATACTAATAAAACTTACATTCATGAATCTCTATTACTGTTCCTTCTGCTACATGACAGGCATAGAATGACACAAAGATGATGGTATATCCAATTAACATTTTGTTTCCCTATTGATAACCTCTTCCTACCGAAAGACAATTCAACGGATATAGGTATAAACTATAAAAATGTACGCCATGCCATAATTACATGTATGTTAAATATATAGGCTTTAATAACTGCTATAACATAGTATTAAGAAAATTAAGAAATAATGGTCCTTTAAATAATTATTGAGATAAGTAAAACGTGAAACTGTAAAAATGCATTTATTTTCTGCAAGGAAAATTAAACTTGCAGTTTTCTCATCGAAATGTGATTGGTCTAGAATTCCTTATTTAGAAATTATTAATAGATATATTATACTGGTACAGAATTTCATGATCCGTATGACACTAAGTAAGTATTTGGATATAAAATGGATTTAAGTCGTTATAATGACAAAACTCAGCTTGTGTATTTAGCGACCAGGAAGCTTTCAGGCGGATATCGGAATATTAAGCTGTACTTACAATGAATGAATTAAATGTAACTGAATATCGTTCTTTAGATAAAATGAATGTTGTACGATACATATTCTAATATATTGTTACAGTATTAGATTTATTAATTTATTTAATAAATCTATAATGTATTTCATATGTTTTTAAATTGTAAATATAAATGCATTATTAAATCTTTAAAGGTCACCCAAGTAGGACAGGCAGTACCTGTACTTAATTATGTTCCCCAAACGAAGTTTGGGAACATATTGTTTTTACTCTGTTTCTTATTATTATTATTATTATTATTATTATTCTTTTTTTCTACTTTCTTCTCCGGTACCTTTTTGTCCGGGAGTGTTCTCATAGAACCACTCATCCGATTGACATGAAACCTTTTTAGGGTTAATAGGCATGTTGTGTAGGTGTTCGGAACGAAGGTCATTTTGCGCGCACATGCATGCACGTGCGCGCGCGTGCAATGAGTAAAATGACTGATATACTTGATGAAGCCGTAACTTTGATATTTCTTGATGAATTGCTTTGAAACTCAAAATATAAAGATACATTAGTAGTCTAGACAAGATAACATGATCAAAGTAGCGTGAACTCACGCGCATGCACGTGCGCTCTTCTCTGATTGGCTGATACAAAAATCTCAATAATTTCCTTGTTTTCTGACAAAATACTTTGAAATTTAGAATATAAGTATATATTATAAGGTGCTACAACATGTTATATAGGAAATTTCTTGAAAACACGCGCATGCAGGTGTGCTGCAATCTGATTGGTTGAAACTTTAAATGTCTATAACTCCCGTGGTTTTCAACAAAACAGGATGAAATGTACGACATGGATAGGCACATAGAGCTCCTACATTATGATACTATCAAAATTGAATGCAAGGCTATGCATGCGCGTATGCTGAATTCTGATTGGCTAATACTTAAAGGGTTACATCTCTCTTACTTTTCAATGAGATTCTTTAATATTTAACACAAATGTATGTATTGTGAGACACTATAAGAAAATTAATGTGAAAAATGTAGAAACTATGTGCAAGCACATGAGCTGAAATTTGATTGGCTAATACCCATATGGCTATATCGGAGTAGTTTTCCGATGAAATACCCTTAAAAATAAACTGTCCATCTATATTACGAAAGTATTGTCTAATTTATTGAAGCTTGTAGGGAATTGGGCATCATAAGGGATTGGGGAGCCGTTTGGGGAACATCTGTAACGGTTCCCGTTACAATTAGCACTAGTTATTATTGCCTTGGGTTATGAAGGTTCTGGTCTTTGGTCTTTGGTTTGAAGTATTCACTGTTTTCATTGGTTTGGACTTTGTAAGGTTGTGTTTTATTGGTTCAGTATTTTTCCCTCCAAAAAGTTGTTTGTTATGGTCATTCTTTGTCCAGTATTTGTCCAGAAAGGGTTGTATTTAACAAATTTTATAATTACGACTTTCTGACATTGACAGAAACAATACTTTTCTCTATTAAGGTAAGATAACATTTATATACTAATTTTAATATGATTTCTAATATTTGATTTAACTGTAAAATCTGTAATTTTGCCAAAGTTAATTCCATAGCACTAGCACAGTCAGAATCTGATTTGAGACTCAGTATTTAAGGAGTTACTGTTTTATTGAAAGTATTTTTTATTCTATACAGTGCAGGAAACTAATTTTGTTACAGCATCGATGCTGATTTGAATGCTTCCTTTGCTTGCTGATTTGAATGCTTCCTTTGCTTGCTGATCTAATGCTAGTAATCCTTATCCTGATGCTGTTTTATAATTAGGTCAATGCTACCGGAAGCAGCATCATGCTACCGGAAGTAGATAATGAATTTCAGCATTGCCGTTTAAAGCAATAAAAGTGCCTTTTACAATTATTTTATCATAATATCTCACTATGTATCAATAATGTGAATACTTTAACCAATCTTCTTTCTTTCTTTTTTAATTTTTTACTGAATTAAAGCTCATTGATTTTCTGATGCTAGTAGGATTATGCTGGTTTTATGTAGGTCAATGCTGGTTTTATCCTATGCTTGCTGATGCTGATCCTGGTAATGCTGTTTTTCAAATGCTGATCCTGATGCTAGCTCGATCCTGATGCTACTTATGCTTATGCTGATGCTGGTTTATGTAACAAAATTAGTTCCCAGCACTGTATATATCTACTAGATATTTTTATGATGATAGGTTTACTTATGTAAACTAAGATAATTTGTAGTTTTATGATCTGGACATACGTGTACAGTGAGCCATATTGTGACTACAATGAATGGGAGAGGCTCAGTCCCATAGATTGGTATGATATGATATTAATGTTTTTATATTTTTCAAAGCGTAATATAAAAAGGGGGCATTGATTGTATGTAAATCATGTACAGAGTTACCTCCCTTTATGCAGCGTATCTGTTAACCGCAGATTGTAATTACTATATTGATACGGATATATCAGAATATTTTATGCTATGTATTTATTATTTGTTATTATGATTTTTCAGGGCATTATTCCAAATATTCCTTCATTGTTCCATTATTCCAACTATCCTATGTGTTCATCTGTGTATGTAATAAATGGATATGTCCGTAGAACCCTGAAACGGACTTATTTATATTTCCATGCTCCAGATTTATAATAAGACACCGTTACAATATAATAAAGTTTGATATCGTTAATGGTAAGATGAACATCAATTTTACCAAAATAGATAACATAACTTACCTTCGATTTATTTTCGATATGTAAATAAACACAATAACACCCGTGACGTACGCAGGTGTAATGTATGGATGGCCGTGTGTACATATGCGAATATATTCTATTTTATTCTATTTTCTTTCTATCATGGTTTTATTTTACAGACAGACATTATCAGATAATCAATATATTATATTAATAAACATGCATAGAACGATACCATTTTTGTATCAATATTATATTCACAAATATGTCAGATTATAATTAATATTAAAATTCAAGGAAATTTCATATGACTAACGTTTGCATGATACGGTCTTATTTCGCAATGTCCTCAAGCACTTTATTGAAATGCACTCATGACTTTGTCGTCATGATCTTTTCCACTGTATAAACCTTCCGGCTTAAAGCAACTTTAATGACCTGTAGGAGCTAGTCTTCCTCAGTTTCAATTTTAAAATACTGATAGACAGTCCGACATGGTGATGCCTATGTCCCCCGTTTAAAAGAAATTCGGGATATTTCTAATTATCAACATTTGAGCATTTAGAAAAAATGTATTAAAAAAAATTAAAAAACAAAAAAACAAAAAAAAACAAAAAAAAACTTACAGTTTAGTTGAAAACTCAAATATTGAAAATAGTTGTTTCGCAGCATACGAATTAAAACGGTCCCTGGAACCAATCATAGTTCTTGGTATAATAAAAAAAAACTTAAGTGACAGAAAATAACAAACAGTGTTCGATCTAAAAATAAAATACAAATAATATAATTCTGTGAACCAGCACAGACCCCTGGAATTTCCAGACGTCCACGTGGGATCAGGTATCTAGGAGGAGTAAGTATCTCCTGTCGAAAGGTCACACCCATCTCGAACCCCAAGTACATGTATTGATCAGGTAGAAGGAATAGTCCGTAGTCAAATTTAGTATAAAACAGAGACCCAACAATTGTTATCAAAGACGTCAGTCAAAATAACATATACTATTAATCTGGACAGATGCAATATGTGAATGTATTTTTTACTTAACTTTGAAAATGAATAAAGAAAACGATTTTTTGCATGGTCTAGAAGAATACTGTCAACAACAGGTAGAAAAACCATAGTTAAAATACTAAGTATCCCAGAGATAACACATTTTCTGATTAGTGTTCCAAACACAATAAATTCCGTTATTCAGGAGTTTGATTTTATCTTTTATAAATATACATGGCATTTCAAAACTCATCGAGTTGCAAAATATTGCATTATTCAGAGTTTTAAAAAAATGGTGGGATAAGAATGAGTTGTTCCGTATCTTTTATGAAAAGTTTAAAGATAACATGGATACTCAGACTTTGAACAATTACAATGAAACAGTATACAATTATAAAACTTCAACGTATACATGTGTATTGACAATTTAAACCGATCTTAATTGAAAGCATGCAAAGTGTTGATTGATGATATTCATCCTTAATAACTAATTAACAACAAGTTGTGTTTGTAAAGCACTGATGCCCCCGTATGGCAACTTACAGCGGAAGTTAAACTTTCTCAAATGCAAATCAAATATCTTAGTACCCAAAGTAAAGTCTTGTCTCGGGGAATATAAATATGAAACCCCAGCAGCAACCATTGAATAGATATGGAAAAGGTAAAAAAATTTCAAAACCGAAGTCAAACATCAAGGTCAAGGTCAAATGGTCAAAATTAATGGTGTCCAAGGAAAGACCTTCTTACAAGGAATACACAGTCATGTGAAATATGAAAGCCCTAGCACTTACAGTTCAAAAGTTATGGCCAAGATTAAAGTTTTCCAAATGTAGGCCAAACTCCAAAGTCAAAGGTTCAATGTTGTTGGTATCCAAAGTAAGGTCTTGTCACAAGAA